ATAGAGCAAGTCATTTGGTTTAGGCACGAAACATACTACCAGTAGAAATACATTTCTTTCAAAATCGCTCTGTGTCGAATCAATAGATTGAATTACAAGTGAGTGCTTCATCCTCTGAACACCACAGGAAGGCGACTGTAACGCGTATTAACATAGGTACGCTCGTCTGAAATGATTGTCCCCTGCAATTATTATTATCCCTCATCGAGTTCACTATTCAGCTTGCTAACGTTAGCTTAAATAAACGTAACATGCAACGTTAGCCTAATCTAAAATGCTCTACTACGGCGTACCTTTCATGTGCCTCCTCAGTGCAGACTCTCGCATCGTTAATTTTTTGCAAACTTTGCTGAGGCTACTCGTGGGCTTGACCCTCGTCTTAGCCATGGCTTGTATTTGTCTTCTGCTAGCCAACGCTCGTTGAAACAGCAACCTCCTGGCACACTGTCATCTATCACTCATCAGAATGCCCAGGTCACACAAACACAAACACTTGTAGGTCCCGCGCATAGCGCGGGAAGGCCTGAGCGGAGCGGTTTTATGTAAAAGTGAAGCAATTATTTTTCCTTTAATCTAAAAAGCGAACTATTCAGTCAGACAGAAATGTATTGTAAAAGTAAAGCATTTACATTTTCAAGCACTTTATCTCAATTTCAAGCACCATTCCCAAAATTCAAGCACTTTCCCAACCTTGAAAACACCACGTCAAATTTCAAGCATTTTCAAGGATTTCAAGCACCCGTACGAACCCTGTTTTTATTTTACAGTTCTGTAGCGATATGCCCGGTTGGCTTTCAAATCAAATGTTATTCATATTGTCCAATATCCAAAATTACATATTCGTCTCAGCTATTAAAGTAATGGTCAACAAGACAGACAGCGACAAACATTTTGTTCAGTCAGTATTTCTACCAGAGTATTTTTAAACACGAGTATCTGTACTTCTACTTGAGGAAAGGATGTGTGTGGATAACCCATACAGTGTGTGTGTGCTGCATTAAGTTTCTCTCACATGAGTCCTGCCTTTATCTCGTGGACGCAAACTCGCAGGGTTGTTGGTTTGATTCGCGCCAGGTGAAACTTCCTCACCCAGAAAGGCAGCTGGAGGAAATTCAGCATAGCGATCCGGATCCTTGTCAGAAAAAACAACAACACAGAAGTTCAACAGCAACAGCTCAGACACACAAACCTTTTTTTTTAGGTCTGCAATTTCTTCTACATTATTGGTTTATTGCCTCCAGGATTAAAATGTCAGGCCTTATTTGTTACCCTTTAAGGCCGCACAGTGAATCCAAATGTTAGCGAAAGTTCAACATAGGATAGTGTAATCTCCAAATCTACGGAAATGTAGCATTTGTAAAAGGCTAAATGGGTTTTAAATTGCGAATTTGAAGTATTGTGGAGCTGCAGTGACAGATAACTAAGCCTATAAATTGTATTTTACAGACTTCACAAACCATATTCGATTGATACAGATCCTGTTAAAGCAAAAGCAATCAACAAAAAAATAACGAGAATCATAATGGAATCAGTCCTGACAATATCATGAATCATTTCCCAATTGAAACATAAGTCAAACAAATCCCAATTACTTATTTTTCCCAAATCGTGTAGCACTAATACTTTAAGAAAAAGGCTTTGATAAATACATCAAAAAGCTGTAATTGAATTAAACATTGGGCCATAAAAATCCTCTTGTATGTGGACTGATAAACCGGGAGTTGTTCACATAACGCTCGGGTCTTACTGGTCTGAGGGGACGACGAGTCTCTCTCCGTGGTCCACCAGGAGGCATCGAGCCTGACAGGAAACTGAGTCCGTGATGATGGACTCAACCAGCACCCGAGACCACGACTTTATCACCGCCCAGTACACCACACACACCTGGGAGGAAACAGTGTTGGGGAAACACTGAGTGTCCTCTACCAATATCAGAGCAACATGCTAACAAAGGTATCCCAACTGTAGCTGTGAACATGACAGGATGTGTGATGACCTAGAAGAGCATCAGGACTGTTTGAGGCATATGATAGCTATGTGATTAACATGATGATTCAGCCTCTATGGAGAGAGACATATGACAAGCATGATCATTTCTGACGTGGAGCTAATCTGAAGTAAACATTGAATACTGCTTTCTATTCCTCCATCTTGTGACTGTGGAACTCCCTCTCTTGGATATCAGCATGTGAAGGACACTGTTCAGGAACTAGTTGATGCTCTGTATGTGATGACTACTTCCATTCTGGAGAGGATCACAGATACTTGGATCCTGAGGTTGAAGCTCAAGCTGGGGACGAGTGAGATTTTTCTAACACACAGCAACATACACACCTAGTCCACCTGCAGCCCAATAAAGAGGCACAGTAAAGGGTGCTCGTTCCTGAGCGTTCCTGAGGTCTCCCATCATGCAAAATGCACTTTTTGATGTCTTTTATACATCAACATGTGTCCCCGGTGTCAGGAGACTCACAAAGTGTCAGAAAACAAAACCCTTTTCCTTCGTACCCAAATCTCTAAAGAGTACAGTACCAGTACAGGTTAGCTCTGAGTGTTAGCGATGCTTGCTAATGTAAACAGACCATATTACGTCCAAAACATGTCAGGCATTGGTTCTGATTAGAGATGTCCCGATCCGATCACGTGATCAGGGAACGGAGCCGATCACGTGATTTTCAAAAGATCGGAAGAAAAAAAT